TCTATCATAAAAACATGGAAAAGGGTGATTAAACTGCAAAAACTTTGTTTTTTTTTTTATGGGATATTCTGCAGCACATTTTGCTCCAGTTTTTCAAAGAATATCTCATCGAGTCTCAATGAATTCAACCTAGTTTGTGGTAGTCACAAAAACAAAGTTTCTGGAGTAGAACAATGACTTTCAAAGGAGGTACTTCACAATTAAACAGGAAATAATAATTTCAAATCAGGAACAGAAAGTGTTTCAAATTTTTCTACAAAGTGTAATAGAAGCATTAAGGTAAGTAGCAGAGATACTAAATAATCCTGTTAGTGAATTGTGAAAACACTTATTTGAACAATGTATGTGCCTGATGGGCTTTGTTGCCCCATGTGCATCACATCACTTATGAATGGAGCATCTTTACATCTTAAAACAGTTGCAATGTCTTCTGGATTATTTCAAGGCATTCATCAATGCTTCACCAGTAGCACTTTGCACCCATGTAACACTGAAGCACTGCTACCCAAAGCTGTTGTGTTCAAATGAAGAGTAATTCTTCTCATCCATTAGAGTGGGACTTGTGTGTGTGTGTGGTGTATTTCTTTTTTAAAAACTCACACCCGGAGTAATTCATCATGCAAATGGCACCTGGAAGGTGAGAAGCATGTGTTGTTATGCTCAGCGGAAGCTGAGCTGCAGGAACAGCTGCTTTTATGCACAAACTATCTCTAAGCCACAGGGAGGAGGGAGCAAGCTTGTGTACTGCTTCTATGGAGATTAGGACAAGGAACAATGGCTTCAAACTACAAGAAAGGAGATTTTATCTGAACATGAGGAAGAACTTCCTGACTGTGAGAGCCGTTCAGCAGTGGAACTCTCTGCCCCGGAGTGTGGTGGAGGCTCCTTCTTTGGAAGCTTTTAAGCAGAGGCTGATCTGTCAGGGGTGCTTTGAATGCAATATTCCTGCTTCTTGGCAGAATGCTAAAAGTTCCAAGCATGGGAAATCTAGTCTGATGAAGCATCATTTAGAATCCTGCTTAGTTCTTGTCCTTGTTTCATGGAAACCGTGGTTGAAAGATTTATGCTTAAGGATTTCTTGTTTCTTGGTTTGGATTTTTGTCCCTTGTAATTACATACTTATGCCTTGGATCAACATTTCATGGATCTTTGGATTTTGTTAGAGAAGTGTGCACTTTGTTTTTGGACTTTGCTGAACTTTACCTTGGACTAATTTGTTCCTGCTTATCTTCTCACCTAATTGGATTCACTAGTGCCTTTTTTACTTTGCTGCTTTTACTTATCTTCAGTAAAAGGAACATGAAAGGCACTGCAGACTACTTCAACCAGAGAAGTCAGCCATAGCAGAGCACCTGAGGAACCAACCTGGACACAGCATATTATTTGAGAACACAGAAATGCTGGACCACTCCAACAACCACCATGCCAGACTACACAGAGAAGCCATTGAAATCCACAAGCATGTGGACAATTTCAACAGAAAGGAGGAAACCATGAAAATGAACAAAATCTGGCTACCAGTATTAAAAAAAACTCTAAAATTACAACAGCACAACAACAGAGAGGAAACAAACAAGGACATCTAATCACCTCTCAACAAAAGTTTGCTCCAGGCACTGTCAGGCCATTATATGCTAATCAAGGTGGTCAGTTGAAACATTCACACCTAGCTCCAGCAGACAAGAGTCCTTTGTCCCAGCCTGGTCATTCCACAGATATATAAACCCCTTTTCCTAGTTCCAACAGTCCATTGTGTGTCCTGCTTTTGGTGGGGGCCCCGATACTTTTTTTGGAAGCTTCCCGAAATCGGGAGGACAGATATCTGTTTTCACTGGGTTGTTGTAGGTTTTTTCGGGCTATATGGCCATGTTCTAGAGGCATTCTCTCCTGACGTTTCGCCTGCATCTATGGCAAGCATCCTCAGAGGTAGTGAGGACCTCACTACCTCAGAGGATACTTGCCATAGATGCAGGCGAAACGTCAGGAGAGAATGCCTCTAGAACATGGCCATATAGCCCGAAAAAACCTACAACAACTCAATAAAAGGATTGTTTTTCTCTACTCAGCTTCAACGTAAGTGGATTAACTGTCATCACAAAACGATATATGCTGGCATTCTATGCGACTTGCTATTTCTCGCAGTGCTGCCTGAGCACGAATCTGCACAAACTCAATTTTTGCAAATAATATTCCAGGGACGGTACAAAAGTTGGCTTCTCTCCTGGAGTGTTTGGATAATGAAAAAGCTGTTTAAATTGGAACAAAACAAATAAAACATGCACAGTTGCTACAAAGGAGGCCAGCCAGCTTTTAATGGATGGGATGGTTATAGGTCAGGGCGAAGGGTCTCTTTCTCTAAATAAAGAGTCCCTGTATTTATCTCTCTTCCTGTCTCACAGGGAAGGGGAAGAAGGAGAGAAAGAAATAAGAAATAGAAGAGAGAGAGGGAAAGAAGGAGGGAAATAATGTTGGGAGCAAAATCTCCAGTTTGTTCTAACTATGAGTGCCTCCATTAACACCGCAGAGATAAAGCACTTTGATACAGCTTTAATTTTCATGTCTTAAAGTTTTGCAATTCTGGGAGTTGTAGTTTGACAAAGTATTTCTCAGTCAAAGACTTACTAAACTACAGACTCCAAGATTCTACAGTCTTGAAGTGGAGTTAAAGCGGAGTTAAAGGAGATTCCATCTGAACATTAGGAAGAACTTCCTGACTGTGAGAGCCGTTCAGCAGTGGAACTCTCTGCCCTGGAGTGTGGTGGAGGCTCCTTCTTTGGAAGCTTTTAAGCAGAGGCTGGATGGCCATCTGTCAGGGGTGATTTGAATGCAATATTCCTGCTTCTTGGCAGGGGGTTGGACTGGATGGCCCATGAGGTCTCTTCCAACTCTTTGATTCTATGATTCTATGAGTGCAAATATACAGAAGGGGGGACAATGCCTGGCTCAAGAGCAGTACGTGTGAAAAAGATCTTGGAGTCCTTGTGGACAACAAGTTAAACATGACCCAACAATGTGATGTGGCGGCAAAAGAAGCCAATGGGATTTTGGCCTGCATTAATAGGAGCATAGTGTCTAGATCTAGGGAGGTCATGCTCCCCATGCTCTATTCTGCTTTGGTTAGACCACACCTGGAATATTGTGTCCAATTCTGAGCACCACAATTCAAGAGAGATATTGACAAGCTGGAATGTGTCCAGAGGAGGGCGACTAAAATGATCAAGGGTCTGGAGAACAAGCCCTATGAGGAGCGGCTTAAGGAGCTGGGCATGTTTCGCCTGAAGAAGAGAAGGCTTAGAGGAGATATGATAGCCATGATAGCCGAACGTATTCTCCCCTACGTACCATCAAGATGACTAAGATCGTCTGGAGAGGCCTTGCTCTCAGTCCCACTGGCCTCACAAGCGCGCCTGGTGGGGACGAGGGACAGGGCCTTCTCAGTGGTGGCCCCGCGACTCTGGAACTCTCTCCCACTGGAGGTCAGAACCGCCCCGTCTATCCTGACATTCAGGAAACGGGTGAAGACGTGGTTGTGGAGACAGGCTTTCGATGAATGAGACAGCACCCTAGGATTGTGGATGGAAGATGAGGTATACTTGTTTTTAATATGACGACTGACCACCGTAGTTTTAAATATAGTTGTTATTTTAAATGTGTTATTGTAATTATGAACTATGATATTTTACTGATTGTATGTTTTTATGGTTGTAAACCGGGCTGAGTCCCTCTAAGAGGTGAGAAGCTCGGTATAGAAAACTTTGAAATAAATAATAAATAAATATGTATAAATATGTGAGATGAAGCCACAGGGAGGAGGGAGCAAGCTTGTTTTCTGCTTCCTTGGAGACTAGGACGGAAACAATGGCTTCAAACTACAAGAGAGGAGATTCCATCTGAACATGAGGAAGAACTTCCTGACTGTGAGAGCCATTCAGCAGTGGAACTCTCTGCCCTGGAGTGTGGTGGAGGCACCTTCTTTGGAAGCTTTTAAGCAGAGGCTGGATGGCCATCTGTCAGGGGTGTTTGAATGCAATATTCCTGCTTCTTGGCAGAATGGGGTTGGACTGGATAGCCCATGAGGTCTCTTCCAACTCTTTGATTCTATGATTCTAGGATTCTATGAGTCAAACTGCTTTAATTCTGCAGTGTAGATGCACCCTAAGAAACTCAGCCAAATGGAATTGTAACACTACAGTGGTTTAGTGCAGAAGGGCTCTTAATAAATGCCCAAGAAACAGACTGAAATGAAATTCTCCTTTCAGTGCAAATTCAATAGGTATCAACTACTTCCCAGTATGATTGCATTATATTTCCATTCTTGTGTTCTCTAGATTCCTGTATATGCTGGAAACATCCGAAGTAGAGAGATAGAAGAATATCAGTGTCAAAGCCATGGTATTCCCTGTAGTCACCTGAGAGCTGGACCTTAGGGAAGGCTGAGTGAAGGAAGAGAGATGCTTTTGAGCTGTGGTGTTGGAGGAAAGTTCTGAGAGTGCCTTGGACTGCGAGAAGATCCAACCAGTCCATCCTCCAGGAAATAAAGCCCGACTGCTCACTGGAGGGAAAGATACTAGAGACAAAGTTGAAGTCCTTTGGCCACATCATGAGGAGACAGCAAAGCCTAGAGAAGGGAATGATGCTGGGGAAAGTGGAAGGCAAAAGGAAGAGGGGCCGACCAAGGGCAAGATGGATGGATGGCATCCTTGAAGTGACTGGACTGACCTTGAAGGAGCTGGGGGTGGTGACGGCCGACAGGGAGCTCTGGCGTGGGCTGGTCCATGAGGTCACGAAGAGTCGGAGACGACTGAACGAATGAACAACAACAACAGTGCTTGAATTTTAGAAATAAATTTAGAGATTTAGAGAGCTGAAGGAATGCTGAAACACAATGTGAAATTTCAAAACGATAATATATTTTTGGGGGATTCGGGACCACCATTCCCATCATCCCCCAACCCAAGTGGGGATGCTTGGGATTGCAGTCTAACATATCTGAAAGGTACCAGAAAATAATGGTGTGAATTGATACTCACTTTGACGTAGTCGTATTCGCATAGATAGGAAGATTCGAGGTCAAAATGCATGAAGTAGAGCTTGATGCGAAAGCCATCCGGCACTGAAATGTTCCAGGTCACGTCTGCATCGCTGGGGTAAGAGTCTGGGAAGTTGGGGGACTGAATCTCCCCAAACATGTCAGTCAGCTCCACGGCTTCGGTGTTGACCAGTTGGACATGACAAACCAGCCAGACCAGAAAGTACCTGTTGATAAAGAACACAACAGACCTTATGAGGTTTCCACATGACATGTCAGAGAAGAGGCTGCATTTGTCAAGGAAAGAGACTTGCTTGGAAACCAGATTTGGTAATAAACAGAGTTTGGTGTTAGCTCCAGTTAGAGAGGATACATTGAAAACTATCAATAAGTGATACTATCATTATCCACTCAAGATGCACAGGATTAGTAATGGAGTATCGAAATTTTCCTGGAGAGGATCATTAGGGGATCAGAACCATATGTTCAAAGATACAAACGTTTTGAGTTTTAACTTGGATAAGCCAGGTAACAGGAGAAAGAAATCCACTACACAGTAGAATCATAGAATCAAAGAGTTGGAAGAGACCTCGTGGGCCATCCAGTCCAACCCCATTCTGCCAAGAAGCAGGAATATTGCATTCAAAGCACCCCCGACAGATGGCCATCCAGCCTCTGTTTAAAAGCTTCCAAAGAAGGAGCCTCCACCACACTCTGGGGCAGAGAGTTCCACTGCTGAACGGCTCTCACAGTCAGGAAGTTCTTCCTCATGTTCAGATGGAATCTCCTAAGTAAGTAAGTAAGTAAGTAAGTAAGTAAAGTAGTAATGGTGAGGCCATGGACGATATTTTCATTCTTGTGGATCACTGGTCATCCATGGACCACAAGTTGGGAACAACTGCTTTAATGCCAGTCTACAATGGGATATTTCTGCCACCCATTTTAGCAAATAAGAGTGCGTCTATAGTGGAGAATTGATGCAATTTGACACCACTATCACTGCCATGATTAAGGGCTAAGGAATGCTGGGAGTTATAACATGGCTCTATAGCCCGAAAAAACCCACAAGAACCTAGTGATTCCAGCCATGAAAGCCTTCGACAATACGCTGGGAGTTATAGTTTGGTGATGCACAATATTTTCCAGAGAAGACAACAGACCATATAAAACTACAACTTCCATGATTCCATAGCACCCAGCCATGGCAAATAAAGTGGTGTTAAACTGAATTAATTCTATAGTTTATACGCTCTCTGTGTGAGGTCCAATTCTGGGAAAGTGAAGCCGGGGCAACACTTCTTGTTCTGTCTAATTTTCAGACTTTTCAAAAAGAATTAGATGGTTTTTTTGGAGGGGAAAGGAGGGTTTCTTTCACAGAACTTGCAAAGGGAAATATACTTTGCTTGCCTTGAAGAAATTAATGATTTCAGTCTTCCCAAAAGAGTCACAGCCACAAACACTTTGACACAGAACATGATCCCTAAGTGACAAGACCACAAATCTCCCTGCCTTTGCTACCAAAATAACCGTAAATTATGATTACATCTTGGACCTGTTGCAATTTTTTTGAAAATTCCACTTCAGCCTCCCAGGTTTGGATTCTCGCTTGTTTTGCTTCAGTGGAAATAAAGCATTTGTACCAACTGCCTTGAGACGTAGTGGACTCACTGGAAGGATTTCGAACTGAGTCTGGAAACAAAAATACCACAGTCCTTTGCCATCCTTAGGTTCACATAAGCGGATCCACATTGGCAGGAATGAGAAGTGTGCGGCTCTGCAACATCCATATCCAGTTGAGGGCTACTATTAAGTTACTAGGTAGGAAAGCCAGCAAACAAACCAATGGGCATGAGTTCATGATGCAAATTGCACACTGATATTTTCACAAAGAATCCAAAATAGAATATGTTCTAGACCAGGGCTTCTTAAAGATACTCCACTTTGGCAGAAAAAACGAAATGCAAAGATACAGAATGGGGGACAATGATGCCTGGCTCGAGAGCAGTACGTGTGAAAAAGATCTTGGGGTCTTCGTGGACAACAAGTTAAACATGAGCCAACAATGTCATGTGGCTGGTCCAGCGGAGTTGATGGTGGAGGAGCATCGCTTCAATGCTGGTGGTCTTTGCTTCTTCCAGCATGCTGACATTTATCCGCTTGTCTTCCCAAGAGATTTGCAGGATCTTTCGGAGGCAGTACTGATGGAATCGTTCCAGGAGTTGCATGTCACGTCTGTAGACAGTCCACGTTTCACAGGCATATAGCAGTGTTGGGAGGAGAACAGCTTTATAAACAAGCACCTTGGTATCCCTACGGATGTCCCAGTCCTCAAACTCTCTCTGCTTCATTAGGAAAAATGCTGCACTTGCAGAGCTCAGGTGGTGTTGAATTTCTACCATTACTACACCATTGTAATGAAAGCAACTGGTTTCGTGAAACCCTCTTATAGTGCTGAAGCTTATTAAATATGGTGTAGTTTTCTGGGGTGAGCAGATGGCAACTACTGGATGGCACATGTTCTGTATCAGAAACTAGAGCTGATGTGGTCTTTCCAATGCAATTTTCTGAATCAGCATCTCAAATAACCAAACAGAATCTAAAGTTGGCCAAAAACTGATTTGTAACCCTTTTGGTACTAATGTTGGAGAGTGGTTGTGGTCAAAGTGGTCCCTGGCCAAGTTGTCCTTTGTCAAGTGGTCCTTGGTCAGAAAAAAGTTTGGGAACCACTGCATTAAAGGAAGTGATTGTTTAGGGCCCCCTTCTACATTGAAATATAACCCAGAATATCAGGGCAGGTAATCCACATTATTTGCTTCGAACTGCCATAGATGTGGGAGAAACATCAGGAGAGAATGCTTCTGGAACATGGCCAGACAGTCTGGAAAACTCACAGCAACCCATTGATTCCAGCCATGAAATCCTTTGACAACACAGCCTCTGTTTAGAAATCTCCGGTTAATAATGTTGGTTGAGATAATCAAACCATTGAATAATAGAGTTGGAAGAGACCCCAAAGGACATCCAATCTAACCTTCTGCCAGGCAGGAATCCGCCTTGCAAACACTCTCGACAGATGCCCATCCAGTCACTATGTCAATATCTCCAGGGAAGGAGACTTCATAGACTCCCAGGCAGTATTTTCCACTATAAAACAGCTTTGGGTTGTTGTAGGTTTTTCGGGCTATATGGCCATGTTCTAGAAGCATTCTCTCCTGACGTTTTGCCTGCATCTATGGCAAGCATCCTCAGGCAAAACGTCAGGAGAGAATGCTTCTAGAACATGGCCATATAGCCCGAAAAACCTACAACAACCCAGTGATTCCAGCCATGAAAGCCTTTGACAATATATGAAACATCAGGAGGATTTTCTCAATGTTTAGGTGGAATTGATGCAGTCTAGAATTGCATTGGCCTTTTCAGCTGCTGCATTACACTGCTAACTTATGTTCACCTTGTTGTTTATTATGTTGCCTACTCCTAGATTCTTTTCATATGGACTGTTTTCAAGCCAAATGTCACCCATTGTATATTTGTGCATTTCATTTCTTTCTGCCCAAGTGTAATAATTTGCCTGTCTCTCTGTTGAAATTCAGGCCTTTCCCAACTCATGCTGAATTGTATAACTTATTAGGAAAGTTGTCCAGTTTTGCCAAGGTTGACATTGGCTGTTTAGACATACGACTGGAATATAACCAAATTGCAACCAACCGCGCAGGCATTTGTTTCACACCATGTTCCTTGCAAAACAGACTCCAGACATCCATTTTTTTCCGGAAAAAAAATTGAAGTTTGCCAAACTTTGGCTCCAAACTTACCCAAAAATGTTTGGGATGCCAGCCCATGTCTGGATGCGATTTGGTCTAAACTGGTTTATTAATGTGCATTCCACTCAAAACAGGCTTCCAAAGCATTTGTTCACGAAACACCAAAAGTAATCGATGACTCAGGTCCAAAACGGCACTTTGGGCAACATCAGAGAACACACGAGACGGGGTGATTTTGGCTTGAATCTAATTGTTAGAACCAACTAAGGTAGACCCATGGAATTAAGTGCTGAATCAACACTTTGGATGTGCGGCTATGTGCCTTTTAATTGTTTCTGAGTTATGGAGACCCAAAAGCAAACTTATCATGGGTTTTTCTTGGCAAGGTTTGTTCAAAAGGTTTCTCTTTGTCTTCCCTCTGAGGCTGAGAGAGTGGGATGTGCCCAAGATCACTCAATGGGTTTCCATGGCTGAACAGTGTTTGGAATCTTGTGGTGCATCTGCTCTGTAGAAATAATGCAGTTTGGGTTGTTGTAGGTTTTTTTGGCTATATGGCTATATTCTAGAGGCATTCTCTCCTGATGTTTCGCCTGCATCTATGGCAAGCATCCTCAGAGGTAGTGAGGATGCTTGCCATAGATGCAGGCGAAACGTCAGGAGAGAATGCCTCTAGAACATGGCTATATAGCCAGAAAAAACCTACAACAACCCATTGATTCCAGCCATGAAAGCCTTCGACAATACAATAATGCAGTTTGGCATCACTTTAACAGCCATGGCTCAAAAGCTATGGGATCAAGGGAACTATAGTTTGCCATGTAGCGGCAAAATAAGCCAATGGGATTTTGGCCTGCAGCAATAGGAGTCTAGTGCCTAGATCCAGGGAAATCATGCTGCCCCTCTATTTTGCCTTAACTGGACCACACCTGGAATATTGTGTCCTATTCTGGGCATCAGAATTGATGAGGGATATTGACAAGCTGGAATGTGTCCAGAGGAGGGCAACTAAAATGATCAAAAGTCTGGAGAACAACTCTTATGAGGAGCGGCTTAAAGAGCTGGGCATGTTTAGCCTGAAGAAGAGAAGGCTGAGAGGAGATATGATGAGGGCCATGTATAAAGAGGTGAGGAGAAGTCCTAGGGAGGAGGGAGCAAGCTTGCTTTATGCCCTGGAAACTAGGATGCAATGGAACAGTGGCTTTAAATGACAGGAAAGAAGATTCCACCTAGAATCATAGAATCAAAGAGTTGGAAGAGATCTGATGGGCCATCCAGTCCAACCCCCTGCCATGAAGCAGGAATATTGCATTCATATCACCCTCGACAGATGGCCATCCAGCCTCTGTTTAAAAGCTTCCAAAGAAGGAGCCTCCACCACACTCTGAGGCAGAGAGTTCCACTGCTGAATGGCTCTCACCCTCAGGAAGTTTTTCCTTATGTTGAGATGGAATCTCCTTTCTTGT